ATCTTAGGTCAATTATTGCACGTCTTAAGAATGTGTTTAGATAATGTGTGTACCATAATTGGGTAAGATCCTCTAATAGCAGATAGTTTAGCACCTGATACTGATAAATAATGTGGGTACTGTAATGTTTCACTCATAATAGGACTGAAACTAAATGATTTGTTAAACTTGGAGGGAGTCAGAGTGGGAATAATTAGACATATGTTTAATGTTTATTATGTAGGGTTTGATTTGCACTCTGCTGTTTGGGGCTTTTAGAACAAGAATAACAAAAACATTAAAAAATATTATCTTCTCATAGATTCAGTTTGTTCTTTTGGAAAAATGCAAAGATTGGTCCTCCTTTGCTCTTACTGAGATATTGTGGAGAAGGACAGGGTTCACCATATGGAATTAGTTGAATATAACTCACAACATTCATTAATTTAACATAGCTGTATGTTGTTTATCCAGTGTATTTTTTGTTTTGTTTGATGGTTTCCTAATGGATGGATGCTCATGTATGGATCGTGTATCCTCCTTTACCAAATCCAAAGCATTGATTCACTATTTACATGAATGAACATACTAACATCTGAATCGTGAAACCTAGTCCCCAAATCTTTGCCTCTGCTTTGCCTTTGTGAACCCTAATCCTTGATTTCGCATCTCTGTTTGCTTAATTGAACGAGTTCTTTCTCTGGTTCTTTCTTTTTCTTGTGCATTTGGAGGTAGAAACGAGTAGTATGGTAAATGGTTCCCTCTAATTGTTGTTTCTCACTCAGGTCTATTGTCATTTTTTTCTTCGTTCAATTTGGGAGGATAATGGCAGATTAACTTCAATTATTATTCCTGAGTTCAGGTTCATCTTGATAATCTTCTCTATTTTATTTGGTTAACAAGACTCTGTTCATATGGTTAAAATGTGTTTTGTGTTACTCTGTTCTGATGGGATAGTTATTCCTTGTCTCAGGCTTTGTTTTCTGATAATTTATCTTGTAATATCATTATTTTTTCCTACAGTTATAAGTATCTTATGATTATCATTCCTCAAACTAAAAGGACAGACAACTTAGGAAAAAGTTGCAAAGATAATTTATTAGCTACCACTGCAGTGAAGTGAGGGAAGAAGGGGGAGAGAGGAAGAGCCGAAAATAGGTGAACAAATTCAAGCCTAATTCTGAGATATTCACAATTTTGAACGAGTATTTCTTTTTTACAAAACTGTGTGTCTGTTGTTTATGGTACTGAGATTTTGTTTTGAGAGTATTGTACATAGGTGTGTTTTTGTTAGTAGATGGGTCTTAACAAATTTGGTCTTGCATGATTTAAACCATAAATTAGATTTTTTCCCCGAATGAAGGACATGATTCACTCACCCACATTATTCTTCATGATTTGTAAAGTTTGTACAGAGCACACCAATTGCTTGTTGAAATGTCTTTAAAACTTGTATGTTAAAAGGGAAATTATTTCTTACCTAAATTATGGACAAATGACCAGAGTATATGAGAAATAATTTTTTTTTTGTGCATGTAGTTTCATAATGGAAGCTAGTTGACATAAATGTGGTTTGGTTAAAATAAAGTATTTGGTAGTAAAATTGTTGCTGCAGTTAAATATATGGACTTGTTTTGGGAGCTTACTGCTAAATGTTGATAAAATTGAGCTAAATGGCTTTTTGGTTCCCAAAGACCCAAATCAGTATAATATTGCAAAGTCATCTGTCATTTTGTATGGTTTCGGACCAAACTTTATTTCTTCAAAAAGTCAATTTATTGTTTTAAATCTTAATCCAAAAAAACGAAAAGACTGTTGTGTAGTGAAGTTCACATGTTTATTCTTGCATTCAGGGTTTAGTTTAGTTTACTTCACAAGTTCACGTTTATGCATTTAGAGAACTTTATGTCTGCACTGCATATTTGCGATCCCTCCTATTCCCTTTCTGTCTTTATACCCCAGCTTCTCAAAGCCCCGTTTCCTGCAAATTTATTTCACATCATGTGAGATACCTGGCATAACATTAACCACAAAAAACGATGTTACACACAACACGGTTGAGACAACTCGGTCCCTGAGGGTGTGTGTGGGAAATGTGGTTACCAAACCAACTGTAAAAGCAACAAGACTTTCCACGAACACAAACGAGCTTCCTTCTTTGTTCAGTGTATTGTTATAAAAATCAAGATACAAACATTGAATTGGACCAAACAGCTGGATCTAACTGTTGTTGATGGACTGTCAAAATTGGAAAGGTAATTATTATGAATATAGAAAGGGTAGAGTGCACCCAACAAATCCGTCATAATCAAAGCACTTGTGGACTAGAAGGTACAGTTCTTAATCTCATATAAAAATAAAAATCAATATAAAGCGAATGTTCAGGAAGATCATGATCACAATTTCGTGCACACTGATATTTTTTTTCTATCACAAGAATTAATATGATGTTGACAATTGCTACTAGTGGCAGCACAGCACAAAAAACCTACTCAACAAAAACACATTTGTGACTGAATTAAAGAATTGTCTGAGTTTTCAGTATCACACTGAAAACCTCTTCAACAAAAAAACCATTTTGCTATTTTTAACAGTAAAAAGGGTGCAGTTAATTAATAAGAAATAAATCACCCTAGAGCAAAGTTTAAAGACACCACACCTTGACCTGTCCAGAGGAAAGGGCTACTCTAAACTCAGAAACAAATCAATCACCCCACCTTCCATGCTATGGAAAGAAACTGCACCCAACCACTCTAGATCCACGATATTATCAAACACCACAACAAAATAAGAGAAAACAAAAGACATCAGATTTGATTCTTCAAATTACCTACCTGAGTAATTGCTCATTACACTTTTCTCAACCATTCAAGATTCACTTCAGCTAAAATAAACTAAACTAAACCCCAAATTGATCCACGTCAAAAATCGTACCCTACCCATACTCTGTTTTTACCAGTAATTCTGCTGCTATTTTTAGGTTTTGGGGCTGAGTGTAAGGATATAGCAATTATAGAAAGAAGAGAGTGATCTATTGAGTTCAAAACTAGCAACAGTTTCCTCTTCTGATTAAGGTGTTCTACTTCTGAATGAAGTCAAATGAACTCTATCTTTTTCCATTTGGATGACTCTGGTCATGGTATTTAAAACAAAAGGCCCACTTTCCTCTTTGTTATAAGCATCTTATCTTACTTCTAAAGTTTCCATTTAACTTTAATTAAATACTCAATGCTATTTATTAAACTTACCTTTAGGTTCTAAGCCCAAAGCCCATTTCTTATTTGGTCTAAGTAATTACTTATAGTTATATCTTTCCTTAAGTTAACCTTAGTGACTAACCCCTAGTCCTTATAATTTATTGATATGAATTCAATAACAACAAGTGATCACAGATTGATTAGACTTAGTCTGTGTTCTTTAAGAGATCCATTTCAAATTCCAAGTAGGTCCATTACAAGAGCAAAAGTTAGAAGGTTCAAGGAAACTTTAAACAAACAAGTTAAAGAAGCTTGGGGGTAAAGATGAAGCTATTAAAGGAGATTTTGACTAAACGCATTAAGAAAAGGAGTTGTACCATGCATGAACATACTTTATTTGGTGTTATTATTTGCTGATTCAATTAGGATTCGAGATTGATTTCATTAGGATTTGTAATTTATTAGAATTTGTTTTAATTATGATTTGTTATTATTAGGATCTGTTTCCTCTATTAGGATGGAGATTCTATTATGATATTAGAATTTATTTCAATTAAGATTTTCTATTACTAGGATTTGTTTCTGATTATTAAGATTTATTCCCTAATGTTTATTTTCCACCATATTTTCTTATAAATAGTAAGTTATGTAATTCAAAAGAATCAAGTTAAGTTGAATGAAATTAAAGTTTTCTCTAAATTGTGAGAGCTTTCCTCTGGTTCTTTGGAAAAGAACCAATCTGATCTTATCAAAGCAACTTGTGGCGATTAACCTATGGCTTTTCATTCACCTTCTCATCTCTTTTCTTGAGTTTGTCTCCAATATCCTTTCCTAAAACCTAAAAACCAAGGAAATTCATTTTTCCATTTCAGATCACCTGTTAACATAATTACCTCTCTAACAGAGTTCTAACTCTTTATTAAAGTGATCAATTTAATTATTTAATTCACTCTTCTAATTAAATCATTACTTATGTTGTTAGAACAAAACAAAAAATGTGATTCTACTCTGTCCATATCACTTTATTATTTTATTTCTCATGCTACAATGTTTCAAAAATTTCCAAACTGTCTAATCCTGTTCTACCATGTCTCAACCACGTTCTTTATTTTTATGGCATTTGTTGGTAACCATAAAAGCTCACTGAAGGCTGTCAGGAAACAAGGCACAGAGGACTTAAAAATCTGCCATAATTACTAGAAACTTTCAGAAATAGTAAAATTTTCCAGAAAACCTCCCAACACATTACCAAGAATTTGTGGTAGAGGAGGTCGATAGGGTCTCATATGTACTCTTGCATGTAAGAAATGATGAAGAATTGATTTTGGTGGTGAGCTTGAGCTCTTTGGTTATGGTGGAAAGGTAGAGAGGATGAGAGAAAGCTTGAAAGTTAGAATTTAAAAGTGAGAGAACGAGAGGTTATGGCATCCATGGATGTGTAGGTTAGTGGAAGGAAGGAGAATATATATTTCTTCCATTCTAATTTTTTAATTAGGACCAAAATTGGGTTTGAGTATCTTTAAATTCCAAAGCACTTTAATTAGCATGAGTGGGGACAAAGAGAGAGGTCATGCATGTGGATTTAGAGTAGGATAGGAGGGAAAATTATCCAAATTTATTTTATAACTCCGAGAGGGTATAAAATTTGAGTTATTTTATACATAAAAATTACTAATTGCATTAGAAATAAATACTTATTATGCAAACTAAGTTTTATATAATAAATGTTAGTCCTTTCTAACTTCTAAAACATTTATATGCATATCCATATGTATATATTTACAAATACACACAGTTATGCTAAATAATTTCCTTAAATCTAATCAATTGAACAGTATTTACGGTTTACAAGTTTACTATACTATCATTTTTAGTTTGACCTCAATTCCTTGTCATATCAGTTTTGTAGCATTTGTTGTGTTGGAGCAGTTTGTGAATTGGTTGGTCATGGATGACTTGTTTGATTCATCGCTGAATTTGGAGGAAACCCATTACCAGGAAGGTTACAAGGAAGGTCACAGCCACGGTCTCGTCACTGGCAAGGAAGAAGCTAGGCAAGTTGGTCTGAAGGTTGGCTTTGAGGTTGGTGAAGAGCTTGGTTTCTACAAGGGTTGTGTCAGCATTTGGACCTCTGCAATCCTGGTTGACCCGACCTGTTTTTCAGCAAGGGCCAAAACAATTATCAGCCAAATGGAGGAGTTAATCCAGCAGTACCCTCTTATGGATCCAGAAAATCTGCAAGTGCAAGGGATCATTGATAGCCTTAGGCTCAAATTCAAGATGGTTTGTTCTTCCCTTCATGTCAAGCTTGAGTATAGTGGCTATCCAAAATCTTCTACAGAGGCTAATGATATTCAGTTTTGAACCACATGATTTTCTCACTCTTTCTTCAAGAGATATTCTAGTGTAGATCAACACCTAGTTGGAAAGTTAATGAACATATTATCCGTTGTTTTTCATTTTGCAAAGAGTTGCATAAATTAATGTATACTTTATATTAAAAATGATGTATTCATTATTATGAACTTAATCTTGATAAATTTGTAGAGAATATTTATGCTAGAGTCACTGTTTTCTTTTGTTACTTTTGTGCATAATTGTTAGAGTTGCATGATCCACAATGAATTTGATATGATTTAGCTATCCAAGGATTCATATCATATGATGAATTGCAAATGACTTTGAACCTTGTCAACATTCATGAATCATTACAATTCTGTTTCACTCATATGAATCATATGATTCAATGATTTGTTGTTACTATATATATGTGTATATATATTCTTTTCTTTCACAAATTATTATAAGAAAATTGAAAAGTCAAATAAGCTTAAATTGTTAAATGAAAAGGAACAGAGGTAGCACTAATAAATACTCCCTGTTTGATTGTTCATTTGTCTGACTTTATTCTTTTGAAAAAGGGCTTCACACAACCAGCCACTCACTCTTGTTTTGTGGTTGCTTTGATGGCATTGAAAATAATTTAGGGTGTTAGACTTCTTCTAAGGTGAACAGCTGAGACTCACCTATTTTTCCCTTTGTCGTGAAGAGCATTGATTAGGATCAATTTTCAAATGGTGCAAAGATGGCAAATGATTTGACAGGTGAAAAATTTAGTTCGGATGAGTTTGATGCCATACAAGGGCAACAAATATGCTTGAAGTGCTCTCAACTTTCCATTGAGATCACAATTAATGAGAAACTTGATGGGAAAGAACTATATGAGTGGCGTTATACTGTAAAATATTCCTCACAAGTTCGGAGGATTATCAAATTCTTGAACTACCCAAGGCCGAAGTTGTTAGACAAGTGGGTGCTGGACCAACGATCTTACACGGTACCCTTGAGAAAAATATTAATAAATTTGAAGTTTGAGTTGTCTTGTTACAAATCGTTTATTTGTTTGATTCCTATTGGTAGTGAAATTGCGTGGATTCATCCATGTTTATAGCATGATTCAAAGCCATTTGCGACTGATCACATGACATGAATTTTTGCTGTATCGTATCGAATTGATTGTGAAATCTGCAATTCTAACAATTACGTACAAAAATAACAAAAAATAGCACTTAACATAAATATTCTCTAAGCAAATTATGTTGATTTAATTAAAAATTTATACATAATTTTTTATTATAAAATAATTGTTGGGTAATATGTCTATTAACTTACACAACTTAGTGCTGGTACACACAAGAATTTTTCTAGAAGAAAGTTTGAAAAAATACAAGTGGTTCAAAATTGAAAATCATTGGTCTCAATAGAAGATTTTGGAAAGTTATTATGGACAAACTTGATATGCAGCAAATACGCACACAAACTTCATATTGGTGACTACGTTTAGGCCCTTGAATATTAGTTGGTGGGTTTGTGCGAAGGTTTGGACGCTAAAGTAGCCAGTTTAGAAATTGAGTTCCCTTTGGACCAAATATAAAAAGAAATTGAGTCCTCTTTGGTCAGGTGGAAGATAAGTTATCCTGCAAAATTTATGAGTTGAGGACAATTAAAGGTAAGGTAGCATAGCAACAAGAACAAAAACCCATGTCAATTAAGTGATAAGACATATGGGATTAGGATTTTTGTCTGCAAGTTTTACCACTAAATTGTCTTCGGCTCACTTTTTCATGACGGCGGAGAAGTGTAAAGAAAATCACCTCGGTTTGGTAGCTAGATTGTAGACATGCATTGCATGAATATGTATTTTTTTATTTAAATATTACTTATTTAAAATTCATTCATATTTTTCATTACATAAATTTAATGTTTAAAATTTGTAGTGCTAATATTTTTTGAAAAATAAAAAATTTAATATTTAAAGAAATATTTATTATTTCTTTTGTATTTTATTATTTTAAAATTTGCATATTATATTATTGTAAGGACAAACTATAAAACATTATAGAATATTAAAATAAAAATCTGACAATGTTTTGATATCTTATAACATTTGAAATTATTGTTATTACTGTTGATACGAAGAGAAAATGAGAGACATATGATAGAATCTGTGTATTTACAAATATACATAGTGATAGGCCCAAGCCCATATCTATCATATAATACACTAATAATAACAATTTAACACTCCTCCCTCAAGCTGTAGCATATAAATCATATGCACCAAGCTTATTACATATATAATCAATCCTAGGACTCGTCAATGATTTGGTGAAGACATCTGCCAACTGATCATTGGAATTAACAAACTGAATAGTAATGTCTCCAGATAAAATCTTTTCCCTAATGAAATAGCAATCTATCTCAATATGTTTGGTCCTCTCATGGAATACTGGATTAGAGGCAATGGGAGGGGCAGCTTAGTTATCACAAATGAGAGACATTTGTGTAACCTCCCCAAATCTCAGTTCTTCAAGTAACTGTTTGAGCCAAATAAACTCACAAGTAGCTGAAGCCATAAATCTATACTCTGCTTCTATATTGGATCTTGCCACCACATTTTGCTTCTTGCTTTTCTAGAAAATCAAGTTGGCACCAATAAAGACACAATATCCGAAAGTAAATTTCCTATCAGTAGGAGAACTTGCCCAATCTGCATCTAAGTTTCCCACAACTCGAGTATATTTATTGTTTTCATATAACAAACATTTTTCTGAGGCTCCTTTAATACATTTTAGAATACGAATGACTGCATCCCAATGACCTGCATAAGGAGAATTAAGAAACTGACTTACCACACTAACTGCAAAAGAGATGTCTGGATGAGTGACAGTGAGGTAGTTCAGTTTTCCAACCAGTCTCCTGTATCTCTCAAGATCTAAAAGTGGCTCCCCCTGACTTGGTAGAAGTTTAGCATTTGGATCCATAGGTGTGTTAATAGGCTTGGAATTCATTAGCCTAGTCTCCTCTAAAATATCCAATGCATACTTTCTCTGAGAAATTACAATTCCATTCTTGGATTGTGCTATCTCAATCCCCAATAAGTATCTCAGTCTGCCAAGGTCTTTAGTCTGAAAATAATGACAAAGGTGTTGTTTTATCTGGGAAATGTAATGGTGATCACTACCTGTAATAACAATGTCGTCAACATACACTACCAAGTAGATACACCCAGCAGCTAAATGGCAATAAAACACAAAATGGATAGTCTCACTCTGAGTCATACCAAACTGTTGGACTACTATACTGAATCTACCAAACCAAGCCCTAGGAGACTGCTTAAGACCGTATAAAGACTTGCGGAGACGACACACCAAGCCTTTATCGCCATAACCTGTGATAACTTAGAGTGACATAATGAGGTGAAGGATTACGAGTGGAGCGTATACTTTTACGAAGTGCAATAGGGAGATCAGACTCAAGAGGTGGGATTGGAAGGGATGGAGGAGTTGGCTTCGGAGGAGAGTTAATAGGTGGCCTGTCTGGAACGCTCGGATGTTGCCGATGATGATAAACCTGTAGAGGTGGCTGAGGTAGTGGATCTCCTTGCACACTGGGCATGTCTGAGGGATCAAAGACAAAAGGTGTGGTGGTGGATACTAAGTCAAACCCAGAGGGTGAGAAATTAGACTCAAAGTAGAGAGAAGACTCAAAGAAGGTAACATCAACTGAAATGAGATATCTACAAAGAGAGGGGTGAGAAACACTTATACCCCTTCTAAGACCGAGGGGAGCCTAAAAAGACACACTTATGAGACTTAGCTAACAATTTATCAAGACTAGGACTAAGATTGTGAACAAAGCATGTAGACCCGAAGACTTTAGGAGGTAAGGGGTGGAGAGGCTGATGAGGGAACAATATAGAGTTAGGGACTTGGTTGTTTAGGACAGAAGAGGGCATGCGATTGATGAGATAGCACGCAGTGAGAACATCATCACCCCAAAATTGTTGAGGGACATGACCATGAAGTAAAAAGGTTCGAATTGTTTCAATAATATGTCTATTCTTGCGCTCTATAACCCCATTTTGTTATGGATATATGCACAAGAGGTCTGATAAAGAATACCATGGGAAGCCATAAATGTTTGAAAAGAATGGGAGAAATACTCACGAGCATTATCATTGCGAAGAGCACGAATAAAAACACCAAATTAATTTTTGACTTCATTATAAAAGGATTGAAATATAGAAAACAACTCAAAACGATTTTTCATTAAAAACAACTAGGTACATTGAGAATAATCATCAATGAAAGTAACAAAATACTGAAACCCTAAAGTAGACCTAATACAACTTGGACCCCAAATATTAGAACAAATTAAAGCAAAAGGAGACGAAGCTCTGTCATTGACACTCCTAGGAAATGGACTACGGCTATGTTTTCCTAATTGACATAACTCACACGACAAAGTTGACAACTTAGACAAACTCGGTATGAGTTGTTGCAGCTTGGCAAGGCTAGGGTGACCCAACTGAGCATGGATAAGAAGGGGAGAATCCACCACCAAGCCAGCATGAGCAGAAGTACGAAGCTGATAAAGGTCATGAGACTCACATCCGGCGCCAATCATCCATCCCAAACTTCGGTTTTGTAAGAAAACAGAGTCTTTAGTAAAAGAAATGACACAATCAAGAGAATGAGTGAGATGACTAATGGATAATAAGTTAAATGGAGACCCAGGGACATAAAGGACATTATCAATGGAGAGAGAAGGAAGAGGGTGGACACTACCAATACCATGGGATGGGGCTTGGGAGCCATTAGCCAAAGTCACAAATGGTAAGTAACCAAAAGTGGAAAGGGTAGAGAAAAGGAATTTATTATCGTGAATATAATCAGTGATACCAGAATCAAGAACCCAAGGACCAAGGGAGGTGGAGTGAGTGAGACCAGCAAAGGAATTACCCGTGTGTGTAACAGAAGTAGTGGAATTGGAGGCCTGACGATCCTTATACCATTTAAGGAAGGCATTGAAGATAGCTGGTGGTACTGGATGATCAGATGAAGGGGCATCAACATCAGAAGGTACAGAGGGAGCAACTTGGGCAACATTAGCAGACCGAGGAGGGCGACCATGCAATGCAAAACACCTGTCAATAGTGTTGCCCAATTTGCGGCAATGATCGCACTTGTAATGACCCTTGCCTGGTTTGCGAGAGCGGCTACAGTCATCATGCTGGGATATTAAGGCAGAAGAGTCAACGGGGGTGATAGAAGAAGGTATAACAGCGGATGACTTGGGCGGCACACGCGACAAGGTTGACCAAGTGGAGGTCAAAGTGGGCACAGTCGGAGATCCCAAAATCTGATCACGGACCAAAGAATACTCATTTGGGAGCCCATACAATGCCATCAATATAAAGAAAGTTTGGCGTTGCTCCAGTTCTTGAGTAGGAGTGGAAGCGGGGGGCAAGAGTTCATTAAAGTCATGTAAAAGACCATGAACTTTGCCCAAGTACTCAGCCATGGATCCATCAATATGTTTAGGGACATGGTACTCAAGAGATTGTGGCAAACACCATAGAGGCATTGAGTATCATTGTTGTAAAGCACCCTAGCTTGCTCCCAAACCCCAGCATAGCTCTCATGAGCTCGAAATATCTGCTTCAAGGTAGGATGAATAGTCAACTTAAGAACATTATAAATCTGAGCATCAACTTTGGACTAGCAAGGGCGATCTTTTGTGTCTATAGAATAAGCTTTCTGAGTACGATAATCAAGATAATCATGTCCCTTTAGCCAAAGCTTGATATCAGAGGCCCAGGTATCATAGTTACTGCCATCTAACTTATCATAGTTAATGAAGATGGGAGGATTAGACTTAGTAGCAGTAGGAGTAGCCATGGGTCAACTGTAGGAGAGAGAAACAACCACAGGAGAGAGAAAAAGAAAAAGAAAACGTCCAAAAGAGGAAGAACTGGCGAGAACAAAACCTGAAACTTACAAGCAAAGACCAGATCAAGATAGAAGACACCGAGGCGAGTTCGGCGACAACGAGGGTTGCTGGAACGGCGGCCAAACGCGCCTCCACATGCGACTAATGGCGGCTGGCAGAGGAGAAATGCACTAGTGAAGAAACGGCGCCTGAGAGCGCATCTCTACTTAGATGGACGCGAGTTTGAGGGTGGTGGTACTGGTGGGATTCACAGCGGGAGGTGGCGGCAGCAGCAAAAAAAGGGGAAAAGGTGTCAAAAAAATAACACGACAACACAGGCAGACTGAAAACCAGAATGAGACACAGTTTTCAGAAAAAAAAAAAATTGACACCAATGGACAGTAGGTTCACTGGGAAGACACGGACTAGGGTTATCCTTCGTTAGACTCTAGATACCATGTTGAGATGAAGAAAAAATGAGAAACATATAATAGAATACATGTGTTTTGAATACAAAGCGGAAAATAATATATATATTTATTTACAAATATATATAGTGATAAGCCCAAGATTATATCTATCATATGATATACTAATAATATCAATCTAACAATTACAATAAACATTTTATTATATATATTGAATATTTGAAATTAGTTTTATATAAAATTATGAGAGATTGAATTTTATAATGATAAGTGTAGATGTATTTGACAAATTGTCGGTGATAAAATATAGATTTATATTATGTATGGATTAGTATTTATTTACATTCCTACTTGCAATGCATTTGTGTTGCCAGAAAAACAAATTAAGTAAAAAGAGTGAAAATAAATTAATTTAAATTAGGTTTTATCTATTATAAATTCATTTTAAGTTTTAGCTTGATCTTTTGAAAAGTTTGACCTATCCTAAAATAATAGAAGTCTATTTTACAGTAAGATCTTTTATTAACTATCAATATGCGATGAAATTCCTTTTATTATTGTAACACTTAAAATTTTGCTACAATTATGTCACGGTTCTTAGTATGTAAAATATTGCAGATAAATGCGATTAATGAAATTGCAATGTGGTTGAAGAGATTAAATGGGCTGCAATTTAAAATAGTAAATTGCAATATGATCTGCATGTGAACAAGACCGTAAAATTTCCATCAACAGCAAAAGGGCAAGCTTATAATATTACAATTACTAGTGCAATGATAACATAAATAGAAAATTTCTCCTCTCTTCTTACTTAATCAGATCTCAAAACCACTTAGAAAGAAATGAAGATGAATAAGAAAGTGATAGCAGCATGAAGATGGCTACATTCCAGGGAAGGGAGACGCCACAGCTCGTTGAAGTGACTGATTCTCTGAACGCATGAAGCCAAAGTTGAGCCTTGCAAAGGTAGCAGAATATGAAAACAAGAAGAGTATCAAAAGTATGGGAGATAGCAAAAGGAGTAACTGAAAGTAAGTGGCTGTGTGATGAGAGATCCACAACAAGCTCATGACAATGCCAAATATCACTACCAAATGAAGAGTCGGCGAAAGAGAAACAGTGGCCATGGTCTGGCTTGTGCATCCCTCTGCACTCTTCTTCTTGGGATAGAACCACCCCATTTTCCCCTTATTTCTTTCTCACTCAGTGATAAAAGCAGAACTAGACTGTATCATATGCACACTAGGATTTTATTCCCTAAGGCTTTATATATAAGAGTTGATCTGTTGCTTCGGATATTAGGTTGGCTTTGGCATATATTCTTTGAGTGTAACTTTCATCAGACCAATATTTTTTTGTTCTGTACTCAACACCAGCACTTGCAAGTGTAGGGTACCTGAGTATTTTTCTTAATGGAGAAGGGTGTAAATAACAAAATATCATAATCCACAAACTACAAGGCCAATAAAGGGCCTCATCAGCAAAGATCAAGCTTTCAATATAATCTTGTGAATATTAAACATTTTCCTTGCTATCACCTTGTATACAGTTGTTAACATTCTTCTTATCTATAATTTTGTGGGAGGGGTTCATCAAAACAATACTCTCAATTTAATGATTGTCTCACACTTATGTTTGAGGGGATACCTAATTAAAAAAATGGTATTGAAAAAATATCGGTGTCTGAAGCTTTTAATTTTAAAAAATTGAAAAGGAGTTTAATTAATAACATAATTTATGGTCACCTGTAAAAAATTTGTTATGCTTAATGTTGTTTGAAGAAAATTACGTATTAATTAATGAAATTCAGAAAACTAATATATCCTTTGATCAAATAACTAAATAAAGGATAAAAAATCACTATTATTACTCATAAGACATGTTACATAATTAGCAAAGCACATTATTAAAAAAAAGAAATTATTTTTTCAAAATAAATTGATGGAGTTTAACATTTTTCATAGAAAATAACCTATTTAAAACAAGTTTAAAAGTTAAAAAAAATCAAAATGAGAAAAAAAGTTACAAGCGAAACAAAAAATAAAGTTAGAGGAATAATGTATAAATCTTACCTTTTATTTTCTATTTATTACCTGCAAAATATATAGTGAAACAAACAAGCTTAACAAAGAAAAACAACTATTTACTAATCAGAATCTTTTTCAGTCGAACTTTTGATGATAAACATGCAGATACTAGTACAAACATGTTACTGGTACAAATGGACTGCTTTCCCACTAACCAAATAATTAAACATCTTCAGATTTAAGTATCAAGCCTTCAATCCTTTTCCTCCTTCACCATCAATTCCTCATTATTCAGTACTGCTACGATAGTGCACTCGATTTAAACTAAAACCTTCAAAATAGCGTCCTCCACTCTCGACTTCAATCGAAAATATTTGATGATTGCTGTTGCATCCTCAGTACAGTTCTTTGAGATAAATCTTTTTTATACTTCTATATTTTGTTAATCACAGCAACACATAAACAAATATATTTCGTCTCATAAAATCATGCCTTCCATTTATACTTAAAATTGTGCTCTTGATAGGGACACTTTATTATGTTAATTTTAAATCATAATCTCTTGTGTCTTTAATGTGTCAATTTTTGGTCTGGCTAACCTCAAACTTTATGCAAATGATACTAAATAACCTGAGCTTATACTCTTTGGTGAGACTCAAGTGCAATAGACTAAAAAAAAGTGTTGAAGAGAAATATTGAAAAAAATATTATATTACTAATTTTTCTGAGAGTCACAATGAGCACGGTCCTATGGGAAAATTTGGGGTTGAAGGTGAAGGGCAAGATAATCAAATCAATGCGACATGCAAAGTTGGCAAGTTAATATTTGAATAGTGAATCGTAAGATTCATTTACGATTCAAAGTCACAAAGAAAAGTAATTTCAAAAATATATAAATGATACATAATGCTCAATATAATAATTTTAAAATACAGCTAACCATAACTCTCAGTAAAATCATAACTCATAATTGAGTTATGCTATCATTTCATATAAACTAATGAATAAATAGGTCATAAATAACTCATAAGTGATAGTTCATCTTAAATGCACAATCACATTGTTGACATTGGACAATGATTAAATTTGACATGTAATCTATTGTCGAACAATAAAGTATTCTCAGGTCACATCCTTCACATTTTTCTTTGCCTTAGGAGCCAAATAAAAGTGACTGAATGGAAGCCTGTTTTAAAATAAAAGTAACGATTGGAATAGTCAAATAGAACACAATGATAAAATCTGTATGTTAGGATCGTGGACGAGAATATGGGTTCAAAGAGTCAGTTGGTCTATAAATAGTTAGAAGAAATAAGAAATGTATAGGCAAAGAAATTGACGTGGTAGAGAAAGAAGAGATTTTGTTAGCAGAGTAAGGAGAAGTCCGTCAGTGGGTTTGGTGTGTGAAAGAGGGGTATCTTTTCAGAATCCAGAAGTTGGTTATCCATGGGGAGCTAATTGAGAGCATTAGCTCTTTGTAGGAGCCCAGTTCTGTGACAGTAGTACTCATTCTACTGATTTTCCTTTTCATATCAAATAATACCAGTAATATTCTCTCAGTTTTCCTTGCTTGAATTGCTTTATGGAACTGTTGGTTTAACCGGTTTGCATCAGTGTAAAGCCTTGTTTTATAAGAATGAGAACAGAACAATGAAATAATCAGGTAAACTAAAGTGCAATCAGCAGTACTTATTCAGTTCCTTTTCATTCATCAGTTATCATTCGACTTCCCAATTTCTTTGATGAGAATAGATGGAATAGTTAAATAAATAATGAATTGCTGAATTGAGTGATTTGTATCAATGATAAGGAATTGCATTGATACTGGTTCATGCATGTATCACATGATTCATGGCCCCATGTGATATGTTACATGATACAAATCATTAGCTTATGGGGAGGGGATTTACAAACCTACACACTAGCGACACTGATCAACTTACAGATTTTCCAACTGCAATTTCAATTTTTTTACAAGAAATACAAACTTAACAGTCAAACCTACTAAACTTTTCTACTACGAGAAGTTTATGATTCAACCTGTTTAGAATAAATTCGTAGTCAGGAAGAGATAACATAGGTGAGTTTTTTTTTTTATATAAGAACAGAGCGACTTGTACCTCCAGAGTTGCAGCAGATGCACAATGAAAAACTTCATAGTTCATTGTGGCTTCAAGAGGCACAATAATCCTCTCTCATTCATTACCCTTCCTGCTCGCAACTACACTACTTGATGAGCTATCCTGAACACTACGTGATGAAGAGCACCTACCTAACGAACTCTCTTCTGTGCAACTGCTTTCCTTCCTAGACAACTTGCTGGATTTTCTTTGTCTGGATGATAAATCCTGCAAAACCCAACACACAAACACCACTTGAATCCAGTATCTCTTCTATCACAGCTATTGGTTTCAAGATTTCCTCAGAAAATGGGACTAACCAGATCTGCAGAAGACCCAGGAGTCTTCAACTCGAGGTCTGTAGTGACATCATTAGAATCATCATTTTTTTCAGCCTTGCTCTCACTGGATGATTTGCTTTTGGACTCCTGTTTACCTGCCACATGGGATCGACTACCTGGATGAATTGGTGGGGATACAAACTGGGTAGATTGCTGTTCAACAAGAGTATTGGGGGCTAAATAAGGAACAAAAGTTGAACAGGGGTTAGGGATGATTGCAGGATGTTGACTAGCAAAGAAGGGGTACGGCTGCATGGGAATTGGACCAGGAGGTACTGCCATTGGCACTGGATACGGATAAGATGGTGGAGCCATCATAACTGAATGATCCATTGCAGTCCATTGAAACATAGTCCTGAGCTGCTGCTGATACTGATTATTCAAGTTCTCGATATCTGATTTTAGAGATGCCTTCTCTTCTCTCAGATCATTTTTCTCCTGAGTCAACTAAAAATTAAATGAAGTAAAATTATTTCCTTTATTAATTTAACTCCTAAAATTATCAAGGTGATTCACTAAAGCATGAAGAGAAAGCATTACCTCACGAGATTCTTCATTTAGTGTAGCATATTCATCTTTGAGTTTACTAACTTGAGAAGTAAGGTCCTTCAGCAATTGAATTGTATCGCCTAAAATGGTTGCTTTGTCATTTTTGGGCCTATCAGGGTCTGCATTTCAGAATCACCACAGGCTCAGAGTGATTCAAGAAATTTTCTGTTTTATCAATTCATAGCATCAAATGACTAACACATGGATATATTGTAAAGTAGTAATAGGCATATGACTAACACATTGGTACAAAGTATCAGCATATGTAAACTAAGGTAACCTATGCTACACTACATGTTTAAAATAATGGAAACTCTAAGAACTGAAGTTATACAAATTTGAAAATCCAAAGCAAACTTTTTCCTTTTCTAGTTTAATGACAACTGCAGGCTGCAGCATTGGCGTCCATACTTGCCAGAGAGGCACTTCACTGTGTATATTGACCAGACAAGCCTATGCCAACTATTATAGCAAAGAGTTTCGACAATGGGTCAACAAAATTGGGCAGCCAAACTGCTTGGTTATCTATTTGACATCATCTACAAACCTGGTTCTGAAAATAGAGGAGCTGATGCACTCTCTAGAATGTATGAAGTAGAACTGTGTACTTTGATCTCTTATCCAATGTGGCTTGATGGAGGACAGTTAGTAGAATAATATGTAAGGATGAAACTTAATTGAAAATGATTTCAACTTCGATGGAACTTGGAAATTCTGAGCTGAGATCAATTCTACTGAGTAATTATATTACGATTACATTATATAGGAGTCTAATCCTAATATTTACATGAGTCTGGAGGGTATATTGACCAGAGAAGCCTATGCCAAATATTATATAGCAAAGAGTTAAAAAAAAAACAGAAAGAGTGGGTTAAGAAATTGTCCCATGGGCCCAAAGTTTGGAGGGTTTTTCTTAAGAGAAACCAAGAAGGAGTGGCAAAGGGTAGTGAGCTGGCAACGTGAGAAAGTGTTAGTTATTGGGGGGTGGAGAGGTGCGTGTCCATATAGGTGTTTTGTGAGTGGGGAGAGTGGTATCTTGGAGAATCAGTCAGTTAGTATGAATGGAGAGCAATTGCTCTCTGTAAGAGCTTGGCTTTGGGCAGCAATGGTTTTCCCTATTGAATCATTTCATTTCAATAATATACATACTATTTTATCTTCATCATCTATGTTTACTGTCTTAATGTTCTGCGCTTGGATTGACTTTGTATCAGTTCAGAAAATGTCTCATGGGCCCAAAATTTGGAAATTTAGAGCATTTGAAGAAATAGGGAGCAGAAGGGATTGGTGAGCAGGCAGTGAGAGAAAGGAATGGGATGACGTTAGTTACTGATTAGCGGGGGATACGTTTGTCAAATAGGAGAGAAGTGTGACGAGGGGGTATCTTTGTGAATCATTAAAATGTTTATGGATGGAGAGCATTAGCTCTCTGTAGAAGCCAAGCTCTGTGGCAGTATTCTATCCCACTGAATTTTTCTTAATTGGATAATACACGTTTTTTCACCCTTTATTCTTCTGTTGATTTCTGTCTTTGGTTCTGCCAGATCTGGATTCAGGTCAAACATTTAGGTTGTAGAGGGGTAAAATCATTCCCATAGATTTGGGGTTGCTGTTGTCACATGCCAGAGGAGACACTGCTTCAGCAGCCATATTTTTCTGCATTTTCTTATTGCAATCAGAGCTTCTTTATGAGAATTCCTCTAGCGGTTCTATAGTATGGAAATATTAGCAACTACGAATTACCAAGTTGAGAAAGTGATATTTTATTTACCTAAAATGTTACCCAGTTCTACAAACTGTTCATTGAGTCGATCCCTCCTTAACTTTTCTCGGTCAGCCTTTTGTGTCTTTCTCGCGGCTGCACAATCCATTTGTTCAACTTCAGGCCTTTGGCAGTAGATACATATGTTCCAAAAAGCAGAATAATTTAATCAAAAGTTAAATCATTGCTTTCAGCATTCGAGAACAAGAAAAACCAAAATTATCAAAATAATGGAAGTAATTTACTTCAAGAGTTAATCTTTGTTACATCAAAAGGCCATGACTTTAAAATTTTATTCGAACACATTTTAGATGAGGTATTTAATTTTGTAGAAATATAACCTACTTTCTAAGTAACTAAATCAGGTGGCACTTATAAGGTTAAAATCCCATAGAACCTTATTTAGAAACTCTTTAAAGCATTTATTTTTATGTTTGTGTTGTTCTTTTACTGCTTGAGGGGTAATAGGGTCATATGAAAATGTCAATATAGTGTCTGTTTTGAAACATGTTAGAAGGCCTGTAAACGGGGATCCAATGTAGAAGCTATAACTAGTAGTGTTGAAGTAAACGTGGATCCACCTGTATTAACTTGAAGTAAAATGTTCTTATAAAGAGATAAATCATTGAAGTTTGTATCAAGTACAATGACAAGCTCATTGATTTTTCTTGTCCGTAAACCAAGTGAATTTCCAACATAAATATCATAACACTAATCAGAATACCCTTATCATCAAAGCACACTCATTTGGGATAAATATAATTTTGGGGCTTCCGTTCTTGTGGGTATTGGATGCAAAGATTAATTTTTCCAAAGGGAGGGACGACCAAAATTAGAGGAGGGCACAATTTGGTTTGGTATGAAAAATCAATCTTAGCCACTATACTAAACTGGTTTGAACTGGTCCAAAACTAGTCTTCAACCTTTGAACCATTTTAAAACCAATTTAGAACCGGTTTTAACCTCTGAAGTGGCTTAGACTAATGTTTCTATCCAACCAGTCCAAAAATTTGTTAAAGAACAATGACAACTGGTTCTGTCTGTAACCAGTTCAATATTGCCTATGAAAATGATGGGCGTTTTTTCGGTTGTGCAATACTTTCAAAAAGATGCTTATTTTTATACCTGTGAGTATTGGTGAGGTCAAATTCAATTAGTAATATTGATAAAGCCATATTTTTTCTTTAATGAAAAACTGCTTAATATCTTTTCATTCCCTGAAGCACACAATCACAGACCAATATACACTATATGGCATATTATTTTATTCAAAGACAAAAATACCAATGAATTATTTGAAATTAAGAAAACATAAAGGAACCACAGAAACTTACATAACCAACTATTACAAGGAAAAATCTACAGACTGGGTGCAAACAATACTTGCAAAAATTCTGAATTGCAGATGACCTCTCCTTTATGATCAAGCAAGATCAATTATAGCTGCAAGAGAAGTTGATTGAGAGTATCATTATTTAACAATAAAACAACGGATGGCAACACACCAGTGTTATTTATCTCTTAGTGTATCCATTTAAGGAGGAAATCTGACAACAATAGGAATAGAATCAGAACAACTTTAGAGTACAAAAATGAAAAAGAGAAATAATAATAACAATAATCTATTTATTGGGAAAATCATTGTGTCAAGAGAATGAAGACCATTTAACTATTTAAGGCTTTGGTAATCTCCACCACCTGGTCAGGTTTATGAAGATCATCAGGCTGTGTTATTCTATTTCATTTTAACCTTTTTTCCTCTCCTTAGATGAAGCAAAATGGAAAGAAAAGTCTGTTCAACCCTATATCAGGTGAAATTCAAACCATCAAGTGTCATGATGCATGTATCAAACACACTTTAGGTAACACCTTCCAAGACTATGCATATATTAATTTGATATATCAGACCTAAAAGGCAGTTCTATGTGGCTCATGATGGCAGTCAAAGTTTTGAATAATGCCTGATTTTGAGGCAAACCATGCAGAGAGCAATCCATAATGTTCAAAACAAGTAAGGTCTAAGATACCTTAATATTTTAAATGACTGCATTTTATTATTCAATAACAACCACTGCAACAACCAAGACTTATCCCACTAGGTGAGGTCGGCTACATGGATCACACAACACCATTGAACTTGATTAAAAACTAAATTTTTAGAAATCTGGTTAATCAAAAGGTCTCTTTTAATAACTTCGTTTAAGATTCTTTTGTTTGGTAGCACAGTGCGTGGCATTACAAACCCAAACTGTTTAACCATAATTTTTCAGTGTTTTTCATCCTACAGCCCATTTTCATTGATCATATTCTGTGCTATTATAATTTGTCATATAAGTCAAAATCCATTTTGTTTTATCCCTCCACCTTAGAAGAGTAACAGAAGTTGAAAGAAAGCTCTTCCAAATATAACTTTATTTCACTTACATCAATGCTTAAACTAATCATGCAATATTATTTTCAAATAAAGCAAAATAAACCAGATCAAAATTGAAAATGTATTAGCTCAGTACTAGAACTCTAGGAGAACTAAAACAAAAATAGAGATAAATGTCTATACAAGCATCTACTCATGAAGATACTTCTTTTGACTTTTGCAAAGTCCAAGCAAAATATTGAAATGGCAAGATAAATAACAAATTAAAACTACAAGAACAAATAAATTACTATGACAAAAACTTACTTATGCCTAGCCTCTTTCTCATCCAACTAATTCTTCAACTTCTGAACATCATTTTATAACCTTGCAAGTTAGCAACCCAAAAAAATTAATTTTCCAAAAGTAACATATCAATGTTTAGATTCAAGATTATTGAAATCAAGTTAAATCAAATTCCTCATCTATTTGTTCTTTTGGGAGACTTGACTTGTTTTCATTCTGATCTTATACATACACTCTGCACATGTCAGTAAAAGATCCATACATAAATGCTTGGAGTTACATTACAAAATAGCTAGCTGAAGTTGAATAAAAAATTTTGTTAATCAAAACATACAGCTTCAGATATCTCCCACTGTATAGCCAATCAATTGCTCATTGTACATGTTTGGTTTGCATCACTTTACATAAAACAGCTTTTTATTAAAGTTTCAAAGAATATATACCTTTAATGATTTTATTTTTTGAAGTGTTGGGTTAGCATATGATTTTCTAGGAATGGACACATGAATGTTCACATGATGAAACTTGGATAAACAGCAGATAGCTATGTTAATGAATGATGTGTGTTATATTCAACTAATTCCATATGGTCAACCTTGTCCTTTCCTCCATAATATCTCAAGAGGGCAAAGGAGGACCAATGTTTGCATTTGTTTCAAATGACCAAACTGGATCTATGAGAAGGTAATATTTTTAATGATTTTTTTATTATTGTGCTAAAAGCCCCAAACAGCAGAGTGCAAATCAAACCCTAAGCAGTAAACGTTAAACATACATCTAACTTGTCCCACTTCAATTCCCACCAAGCTTAGCAAACCATTCAGTTTCAGCTCACTTACGAATTAAATTAAACAGTAGAGTACCCACATTACGTATCAACATCAGATGAAGCCGAACTATCTGCTCTAAGAGGATCTTAACTAATTACAATATAAAGGGTGGAGGGTGGACACATTATCTAGACACACGCTCAACACATGCAATAATTTATCTAAGGAGGGATTGAGGGAAGTTTCATATTTTCTTCTCCTATCCTTTTGGAAGTGAGTGGGGAGGCATACTTTATCCTCCCAATACTCTCCCTTTATCAAGACTACTTTCCATTTCCAAGTTAAGAACAATTGGATGGTAACATTGTGTAGAAACTATAGAATTTGAGTTAGTAACTAAAGTCCTATCATACACTGCGACACATGTTCTTCGGTAAAATAAGTGATAAAGATCAATTAGTGCACACTTCCCAATCACTTTCAAGTTCACCAACAATAACAAGCAGCAAGCCTTATCCCACAATGTGAGGTTGACTACATAAATCACTCGATGTTATGAACTTGGTCAAAAACCAAAGTTTTGAAATATTATTTATCACTGGATCTCTTTTCATAATTTCCTTTGAAGTTCTTCTGGGTCTCTCTTTGCCCTTTTTTTATTAGATTAAAAGTCATGCCATTTATTTTTCTCATTGTGCCTCCAGTGGCCTTTGCATGTAATCAAGTCACCTTAAACAATTTTTTGTCATCTTTTCCTCTATAGGTATTACTCTAATATTTCTATGTATACAATCATTTCTTATCCTATCCTTTTTTATGTGATCATTCATCCATCTTAACAGTCCCACTTTTGTCATTCTCACTTTTTTCTTGTGTTTTTTAAGGCTCAACATTCCCCCTCATATATGATAGTTGATCATATAACTATATGATGAAACTCCCTTTCAACTTGATAAATATTTTACAGTCAGAAATAACTCTCAATGTATTTTTCTATTTTATTCCAACCTATAATTTATAAATAACATCTTCATTAACTTTTTTATTATTCTGTAAAATTGATCTCAAGTACTTGAATTTGGAGACGTGGTATAACATCATCTCTTATTTTAACTTCTAACACATGATTTTCATCTTATTTTTTGTCAAAATTGTAATGCATAAACTTTGTTATACTTCTATTTAAGCAAAAACTTTTAGATTCTAGAGTCTCCCTTTAGAACTCAACTTTAAAGTTTATTTCTTTTTTTGATACCTCAACCAGGACTAATATTATCCATGAAGAGCATGCACTAAAGGATAACTTTTTGTATATCACTCATAAACATATCTAAGACTAGATTAAACAAGGCTTAAGGCAAAGTCTTAATGTAAACTATCTCGATAGGAAAATGCTTTTATACATCTTTAAGAAATCTCATACATGTAGTTACCTCTTCATACATGTCTTATATAGTTCGAATATATGTTACATGAATCCCTTTCCTTTTCAAAGTCTTCCATAACAGTTCTCTTGGAATACATTCATATGCCTTTTCTGAATCAATAAAAATTATATGTAAATCATTTTCGTCATAATAGTACTTTTCTATCAACATTTGTAAGAAACATATAACTTTTATTGTAGACCTTTGTGGCATAAAATAAATTGATTCTTTACAATCTCAATTTTTTCTCTTAGTTCATGCCTAATCACCTTTTTCTATAACTTCATAATAGTATGACTCATAAGTTTTATTGCTTTGTACTTCACACAATTATGATTGTCATTTTTGTTCTTGTATATAGGGACCAAAGAGCTCTTCCTCCATTAATTTGACATAATCTCATTGACCATCATTAAAAAGTTTATATAAATAATTTATCCACCTATTTTTAATGTCTTGATCTATAATAACCAAAACTTTTTCTTTTTTGTCTTTAATACATCTAACTTTGTCCAAATCTTTAGATTTTCTTTCGCTACTTTTGACAAGCTTATATATCTTTCTCTCAATCATTATTTGTCTCAAGATCTTTATAGAACTCTTCAAAGCCTTAGATCATATTTCATTCATTGCTTTTCTTGTCTCATTTTTTGTATTATGATACTTTGCCTAATTTTCAGCATTATTGCTTACATGCAAAGTTTTAAAAAGTATCCTCTCAGCTTTAACTCTCCTACACACTTTTATTCCACCGTCAAAATTCCTTATCTTTTAACTCAAAGCCTTGACATTTACTCAAAACTATCTTGGCAACTGTCCTAAGTCCCAACCTTCTTAGTCATCCCAAATGGGGTTAACGCTACCTTACGCTTGTCCCAAGTCCCAACCTTCTTAGTTATCCCAAATGGGGTTAACACTACCTTATGCTTCCTAAGTATCTTCTTTTGCCAATTGCTTCTTAAAATCAAATTGTTTATCACCTTTAAGTAGTCACTACTTGATTCTTAGATCTATAATTTGTCGAGTTCCTTTTTACCATCTTGAAACAAACATTAAGGACCACGACCCTACGTTGTGCAATAAGGCTCTCTCCTAGAATCACTTTGCAATCTTTGAAAATTCTTTTATCTAAACTCCTTACCAAAAAAAAAATTGATTTGCGACCTTGAGAAGACCCCACGCACACATAATGTTCGGAAGTATCTTAAGAATTTGGTTAACTCTAATTTAAACTCATTTAAAGAAGAGGCCTTCACAAACTTAATCATATCCCAAACAGCTTTCTTTCCAATATGTATTGCTTTCCAATGATAAGTTATTTGAACTAATAGCACACTAGACTTTCTCCTAAGAGATAGTTTCCTTCATTTTTTAAGTATCCACTATAAAGGCTACTTAATAACACACAGACACACACACACACAATGTAACAGTGAATTGGACCCCAATACATGAAATTTAAACATGCTATTATAAACAACTTGATGGGTTTTCCGTCAATTTTTATTTTCAATTCTCAATAAAATTCTCCTCTAATACATTGAATGGATGCATGCAGAGACTGCAATTACCATTGTTCAATAAAATCCGCAGTCTTTTATAAGGAAAGTCAAAACCCCGAAAGGTAGCATAGTAACAAGACCAAAATCCCACGGCAATTATGCGAAAAAAGATGGAAAATTGGAAGGAGACAACATCGTAGGATAAAAGAATAGGAATCAATTGTTGGAAGGGATTCATATAAATGTAAAAGATGAGTGCTTGGTGAGAGATTTTACCTCGTTCGTTATGTATCTATCACTTATCCTTATCTTCGATTTTTGCCTATTTCCTTTGGGAATCGTCTTCTTCTGTTTCAATGCCTTCTCAACTCTCAAGCAAACGAAGGCAAAGCCAAACCATACTTCGTTTGCCTTGTCATTTTTGTTTCTATAAAACGACGGGTTCATGATGTCGTTTCGTTACCCTTATTATCTCCTTTTTATTATTCTATTTTGTTAAAACTAATTTTAAGCATTTTAATTTTTTTAAAAATAATATTTATTATATTTTGTATTCTCAATAAATTATTTAAATTTAAATTTTAAGTTTTACACATTCTATAAAGGAAGAAACTTTAAAAACGGATAAAAATGAAATTTGAAATTGAAAAGAAGAGTAATAACACCAAATTTAAAAACAGAAAAAATATGCCACAAAATAGAAGAAACAACTAATAAAGTGATGAATCAAATAACTATTCATTCTATTTTAAATTAATTTTTTATATTTAATTTTAGTGTCAATTCAGTAAAATATATCTTATGCATTATACACCATAGATAAACATATTTATTAAAACATATACACCGTGAAAATGAAGAGAATGTATTGAACAAACAATATTAAAGTTTTGACTTCTAAAATATTTCAAATGTAGTATATAAGAAAATAAGAAAAAAAATGTAAAATATATTTAAAATATTTATTAACTCTACTCATTTTAATGAGTATATTCACCAAACAAGTCATGGTCACTCTAAGCTAAAAATATATTTAGAATAAGAATTTTAGAAAGAAATAAAATATATTTTTTAATTTTAAATTAAAATAACTATATATTACTTATAACAATAAATATATAAAATCATAATAAAAAACATTAAATTTATATTAATATATTAATTTATAAAAAAATTACTTTTATATTTTAAAAATATGTAAGTTATATTTTTAATTTTAACAAATTAAATAACTTAATATTTAATTATTTAAATTTATTTTTTCATTCTATTATATAATATTTTACATTGTTTTCAATTGACTAATAAGTCACGAAAGATTTAGGTATATCTTACGTGCTGTTTTAAATTTTTTAATATTAAATTATAAATTAAAATATATATTTAAATTAAAATATTTTGTTTTAATTATAATATAGATGTGTAATGTCATATTATTAAAATAATATATATAATTACATTATTTTGTATCTTAAAAAATATAATTTTATTTTTAAGAAAATAACATTAATTTTAAAATAAATTATTCTAAAATATTATAAATTATAAATTAATAAATTAATTTCACAAAATTTTATAAAAAATTACATGACTTTGAGTTTTCTATTGCACTTTAGAATACATAAAAACAATAATAAGATTTATCAAGTTAAAATAATTTTTAAAATAAAATTTTATCTTTTCTAATATATTAAATATATTTTAATAAATAAATTCTCTCCATTTTAAAAATAAGATGATAAGAATTATTGTTTAGTAATTAATAAATGTTTTTTAAAATTATAATTAATTTAAAGTAACTATTATTTAAAGTAAAGTTCTAACACGTAAACGACTCTTTAGCTAGCTTTGATTTTAAGAATCTTTTTTTTCTTACAAATTTTTTTAGAATTTTCTATTTTGCTGGAACAAATGAGATGGTCAATTTTTTCATTTGGATTGGTAAAAGAAATTAACAACATTTAAATGAGTAACATTCATATAATCATAATCGGAATCATAGATATCTTCATAAACAAAATTTGTTTAATTTTTTTTTTATTTTTAAGTAATTTTTTATAAAGATCTATGAAATGCTTTAGTTTACCAACAATATATGACCGGTAACTAATAACCTTTACTTTCACAATGATAATATATGTCTTTTAGGACTACTTTGGGTACCTTTACTCTTTTTAATTTTTTCACTATTTTTTTATTTTTGGTGAAAAATAGATATTTCTTATTATAACTATATCTATAGCTATTATCATGACCATGATTATTGATATGTTCATGACTTTAAGTTTGTTCATAATTACAACAGTATCAAGTTGTTATATTCACTCTTAGAAATGAAACAACGTTAATTGGACAAAATTCATGATTTTCATTAAAAAATTATTATTTTATTCTCTCACAAAGAAACATGAAATTAATTTAGAATATTTTTTGAAACTTTTTTTAAGATATTGCTATTGAAGGAGCACGTTAATTAGATTTATAAAAAGTAACCTTTTACGTGTAAATGCATTCAATTGTAACGAGTTTTTAGTAAAATAATTTTTTATTGTGATCGTATTTTTCTTTTAAAAATACAATTAGATTTTTTATAATGAGATATTTATTTTTCAATCCTTCGTGCAAGAAACAAACAAATATCATATCTTTAGTCTTATCTTAATTAGATATTTTATTTTCTTGTTTGATAGTATTTTGAAATTTTTTTTACATCTAATACATGAATAACTTTTTCCTATAATATTAATGGTGACAAATTCGAGTTTGTAAAATTTGATATATTTAATATTATCATAAAAATATAAAAATAAATTAGATATCATCTTAATATTATAATATCAAAAGTAAAAGAAAAAGTAGATATAAAAAAAATATATATTCAATTGATAAATAAAATAATAAAAAATTTTAATCAATGGTTAAAAAAAAGTAAAATATTATAAATCTTAAATTACTAATAAAATTTTCTATGGACACAATCACACAAATTTATAAATACAGTAATTTAATTAAAATAAATAAGTAAGAAATATTTTTATAAAAAATAAAAAAAAGAATATTAATTCCTTTTTTTGAGAATGTTCGTTTCTTGTAAAAATGTGTGTTTAAGTCCAATATTATGATATAGAATTAACGTAAAACTGTAATGAATAAATAAAAAAATAGAGAACAATATTAAAGAGAAAGCAAGAATTTTAATTCTATTTTACAATATTTTATTCATTAATATATTGAAAAGGAAAGACCATGATTTATCTTATATGTTGGATTCATTCCCTCTTTAATTTGATAGTTTACAAAGTTTTTGTTTGTTGATCTATTTTAGCATGCTGGTTTTGAATTCTAATTTTGAGTTTTTATAAATATATTAAAATATTTTAATAATTTCTACTATATCTTATAAACTGAGAGAGCATACAATGTCATGTAAAATAAATGTCACTATTAATTTGATAAAAAATAGAATTAGTAGTTTGTTTGGAAAAAAATATAAATACTTTTTAATTTTTAAAATATTAAAGAAATTATAATTATCTATTTAAAGAAAGTATATAATACCTTCTCAAATTTACGAGTAGATAACAAGTACCATATATTTTATGTTCTTTTAATGTAAAAAAATTTAAAAATTAATAATATTAATTTCATCATTTGAAATTTTATTAATTGAAAATAAATAAATTTTAACATGCAATCTAATCAAACATAAAGAATTAGGAATGTATTTAATTATTTATTCTTATTTTTCTAAGACATTATTTTATTTTGTCTATTTAATTTAAAAAAAAATTACTACATTATGAATTTCAATATCGTGTATTTAGATTATATGGGATATTACAAATTATAATTAATTAGATTGTTATTCTAATTCTTAATTATAATCATAGCATAATTTGATTGGATTTTTTTGGTCATGATTTGACTTTTAGATTATTGATCAAATTAATCTTACTGAAGAGATATTTAGATTTTAATTTTAATAATAATAAAATCGTTAATATATATATATATGAGAATCTTAATTTATTGATATGATGAGTATAAATTTTAATTGATTTAATAATAAAAAAAGATTAACAAAGATATTTGATTTAATAATAATTATAAGAGAAACTGAGATATACAAGATTTATTGGGGGTCATACCAGCACTAATGCACCGTATCTCATTAGAACTTCGCAGTTAAACGTGTTTGGGTGAGAGTAGTACTAGGATGGGTGATTTCCTGAGAAGTCCTCGTATTGCACCTCTTTTTAGTATTGTGTAGTTTTGAATTAATGTCAGGTATGAAAATTAACTTTCATAAATCTTGTGTATTGGGGATTAATACTGGTGATGACTTTGAAAACTTGGCTGCAGAGTTCTTACATTGTAAGATTGGTAGTTTTCCATTAAAGTATCTCGGGTTACAGTTAGGTGTTACATTGGAAGGGTGTGCTAGAGGATCTTAAAAAGAGGTTAGCATCTTGGAAGCATAAGTATTTATCGATTAGAGGCAGGATGACTTTGATTAATGTTATTCTTAATTCTATGTCATTGCACTCGTTATCCTTTTTTAAGGTGTCAAAGTCGGTGATAAAAGAGATTGTCACTATCTAACGAAATTTTTTATAGAAGGGTGTTAAGGATAGATTTAAAATCTCCTGGGTAAAATGAGAAACGGTATGTAGACCGTAGAAGAATAGTAGCTTGGGCATTAGGAATGTGCAATGGTTTAACTGAGCGCTTTTTGGTAAATGGTTGTGACGAGGTGTTAATTGTTCTAGTTCATTGTGGGTGCGGGTGTTGGAATCTAGATATGGATGATTAGCTTCTTCTATTCAACGTTCATCAGTTTACAACAGATATTCTTTGTAGTGGCGTGATTTGCTAGAGGTTATTTATCAAGGGAATTCATAGCTGGATGAGAAGTTTGATAGGAGTGTGGTTGCAGGTTTACACAAACTTTTTTGGAGAGATAAGTGAGTAGGCGGGGTGTGATTGTGTGAAGCATTTCCGCGATTGTTTGCGGTGGTGAGGAATGCTGAATCATGTATATTGGAGAATGGTTTTCATGATGGTACTAATTGAGTTTGAGATGTTAGTTGGCGAAGATGACTCTTTCAACATGAGATCTCAAGCTTTAATTTTTTGTTAGAGCTTGTGGAAGGAGTTCCTATTAAGTTACTACAAAAAGATAAATGGGTATAGAGGACAGATTTTTCAGGTTGTTATTCAGTGCAATCTGCATATTCATGGCTATTTGAACTTTTTGGTGCTCCTAATAGTGTAGATCAGTATACGGTATATGCCTTGCAAAGGTTATGGAGAGGGAAGGTCCCTCTTAAGTGTCTAGTATTTTCTTGGCAATTGTTGTTGAATGCACTTCTTTGTAAAGGTTTGC